ATAAATGACTCAGGGATGGTCAAAATAATCACAGTGAATTAGTTGGTAAATTGGGTGACCAACAGAACTGGGTTCTATTCCCGGCTCGTGCACAACCTGCTGTGTGACTTTGCTTCATTACTTAGCCACTCTGTTTTCTCATCTGTAAAATGAGGATAATATTGATCATTCACCTTTGCCAAGTGCCTTAATGCTAATTGTTATTTTAGCTCAACTCAAGAATCCTTTTGGTCTCTTCACTACAGAATTCAGTATGCCTTTTCAAATTTTAGATACAGGCTTTGCCTTCTAGGTGGACTGTGCAATCGATAATGTGAGATACTGTCAGTGAATTTATTTCTTGGTTAATTTATTTTCATGCTACGCTTTTATCCTGTAGTTTTAAGTTTAAGGAAAGTAACTATAAATATATGCATCCGAAGAAGTGGGCTGTAGTCCACGAAAGCTTATGCTCTAATAAATTTGTTAGTCTCTAAGGTGCCACAAGTCCTCCTGTTCTTCTTTTTGCGGATACAGACTAACACGGCTGCTACTCTGAAACCTATAAATATATTGTAAGTGGATGTTGTGTACATTTCACCAACGAGGTGGTGTTACCTTGTGATCAATTAAACACAAGGTTTAAATTTCTAGTCTGAATTCAATTTCTCCTTCTGACATTGGGCACATTCAATAATTAAAGTAACAGAATTCTAAGTTCAGTAGTACAGTGGTTGTTGTCTGCATCCTTGTCTTATTATGGCATTTAATATGTGTCACACTATATAGTAATCCGCAATTCCTGTTTTTTCACTTAATTGTGTATGGACACGAAACATACACATATGCTTAGATAAAGATGCATTGAGATTCTGCCACAGTTCTTGGTCAATTCAGTTCAATACAATAAAGGGAATCGAAACCTACTTCTAATATGAGCACCCTTATTGCAATGACGGAAGTCTTGTCCAGCACATATCAAGCTATTCACATGTCCTGCCTCAACCACACATTCCAAAATTCAAGAAACAGGCATTCGACTAAGGAAAGTGTTCTTTTTTTTTGTATATTTAAGTACCTCTTCTTTTGGAATCAGGGTCAGTGGATCACCAGAATATCAGAAGACTTCGTACTGCTGGAGGTGACATACTTTAGAAGGGACATAAAACTGACGTTCTCACCACTTTGGGAAATTAAAGGGCCCCCGGCACTTTTCTTATGAGTAGTGGTATCAACCCCAGTGCCCTGGCCAGATTCCAAAGTGAATAATTGTGTTCTGCCTAGAGCTTTGAATGGCAATGTTGCTCTTTTCACCCTGCCCAAAACTGTTGGGTGACATTAAACAACTACTGTGTCCCCTCCAGTAGGTCATTTTAACTCATAGCATGACATTCAGTTCAGTTCAACTGAAAATACAATTTCGAGTCAAACTGTTGTGCAGCGCTGATGAGTTACACCCTCACAGGCAGCTGCAATTTAGTGATGAGTGAAGTGATTCCTATCTATACACACCTGACCTTTGTGGCCAGGGTGTCATGAGGCTTAACTGGCTAGTTAGTGTATACAGCACACCTCCCAAGAAAAAAAATATATATCCATAAAAGCTGGTCAGTAAAAAAGAAAACCCTGGGAGACTCCTCTCATGGATTTCATTTCAGAGTATTCAATCAGGAAAGAATCTCCCTGAAAAGGAAGAAGTTCCACAGACTCCATGAAGTTCACCAAGGACTTCACTGTTGTTTCTGATTTTATGCAGAAGATACTATGGGTAAAGGCAGTAGTATAAAACCAGAGATAGATAGAGATCGAGACAGAGACAGAGAGAAATAAATGTTTTCTCCCCACAGAAAGATCAAGAGGTTCTGCTCCCGGTGTATCTTGGGGGGTCTGTCCCAATACAGAACAGTTTATGTGGACTCTCTGGGTCTCCTTCTCAGACTCTTTGGAGCTGTGCGGTCACAGAAGCTTAAATGAAGTCATGTTGCCAGGCTTTCCCCTATTTATAGATGCCTTTAGATCACTTCTCAGGAGATGGCGCATGGCACAGAAAGAGGCCGCATAAACTTTTCTACAGGGCTGGTAGAAGAATGCTGCATGTTCCCTATTGTCTGCTACCTCTGCACTCAAATGGCCAGAAATACTGCCAAGGAGATAGGTGACCACTCCCTTCCGTGGCAAAGGCTGAAATCAGCACGTGGAGGGCCTCCATCACATGCAGATCTCAGCGGGACCTTTGTCTGTCAAGTGCTTTGGGGTCCTTTGATAGCAGGAAGCTATAGAAATGCAAAGTACTATGACTGGTGGCACTGAATGACCAAAACTGCTGTTTTAAACACAGAACAAAAAAACTGCTATGACTTATGAAAAATGAAAAGAAAAGGCATTAAAGAGCTGTTTATTTTCATAGCCTCAGTAGAGAAATAATAGTCAAGTCAAAGCAAATCATTTTCTGCCACCGAACACTCAATTCTCCTGAGGATGCCATTAAAAAAGCCTGTACTAACAGCCCTGCTGGCTTATTCTCTAGAGATAAAGCATGGTGAATTGTATTCAGCAAGTATCAGTGAATAATAAATGCTCTCCAAATTAATATAGCTGTGAAAATATGTACATAATTTATCCAGTTCCTTTTAAATTAAATTGTTTTTGGGATGTTCTTTAGTATTTGTACTAGAAAACTTAGAAGGTACTGATGGTTCAGTGGTAATATCTTGAACTTCCATGCTACTTACTCAGATTTGGTAAATAATTCCTAGCAAACAGGAGCCGGGAATGCTGAGGAACAAACTTAGTGAGTCAGTGGTGGGGGAAGGGGGGACAGAAGTGCCTCATACCACTCAATAGCAAGTGGTTGGAGTGATTACGAAGTAGCTAGGGATATGCTAGACTACCACATCGGGATTCCCAGATCATAGGTGTTTTTTTGAAGTGACTCACTATTCAAAAAGTCTGAAATCAGTTCTGAGGCCCGTGAAAAGTCATCCCATTGGGACATTACATCTCAAGAGGCTAATGGTTTGACACAATGTCATTAAGTTGCAACATGGTGGTGCTTGGACACAACATGATGACAATGCTTTAAAATGTCAGAATGCTGCATTGCAAGGGCCTGTCAAACTGACTCACAAGTGTGGCAAACAGCTCCACAGGAATTCTTGGTTAGGAGGATGGTAATTTCTAGAACATTTCTTGAGGATATTGTGGTTAAACAGAGAAAAAGCTTGACGGTTTCTTAGGGCTCCCTAAGAGATATGGAGAACATTAGGAGAAATATAGGACATTCTAAAAATTAATAACTATAGCTTTCAGTTTCACTTTTTAGGCTGATATCACCATGCCCACTAGAATAAATAAATATCATAGCATGCCATATATGACAACAACCTTCACTGTTATACTGAGATAGCATCTAATATTATCTCCCTTCATTAAAATTTTGACTAATATATGCTGGCTATACATACATACATGCCTGCATTAAGCACCAACAACATTAATCACAAATATTGTAACGGTGATGTAGGCTAAACTAGCCTGTACCATAATCCTGTTTACTTATGCTAAGTACCCAATAACACCTTGTATTTGCTGAAGTAAGCATTTGGCACAAGCAGCTAGGAAACTTGTCAAAATCAAGATACATCTATTCTGTGTCTTAGTACAAGCTAGGGCTATACCTTCACAGATTAGTAACTGGAATGCTAATACCCAAAACAAAGATAACAAAGGAACAGAACAACAGGTTAGGGAACTGTAACAAACTGATGAGATGGATTTTAGTGACGTGTAAAGAAATATGTAATTTATAAAATCATATAAATTATATCAGCTGAAATATGTAACTTGGGGTGCACACTTTCTGCGTAAGGTGAATGTAACGTCACTGCACAGGGCTGTTCTTTGGAGACTAGTATCATATCAAACCTTTCTCCTATACCATATTAATAAACCTGACTGACATTGGTTATCTGGTCTCGAGTATATTTCATGAAGAAATAATCAACCAAAGTATGGTCAAGCAATTGACTATGCCATTTATCAACAAAAAGAAACACAGCATTTCATTTGAGAAACTTACTTGGAACTATTATTTCAATTTCTTCTGACATGGCAGTTCCCAGTTCATTTGAAGCATAACAACGATATTTCCCTTGAAAATCAGCTATGATCCCCTGATTTTGGATCACAAATGTTCCTGAATTTTTGGATGCAATTATCCTGGGGTCGGATAGTAGATCGAATGGTTTCTCATCTTTAGTCCAATTAAAACTGAAAGGTAATACAAACATTAAACATAAGGACTTGGAAAATAATGCGCTACAGTACAAGCATAATGGTAATCAAGGACCCAATCCTAACTCATTACAGTGAATGGCAAAATTCCCTTTGACTTTTATGGTGCTGGAACAGGCCCCAAGAGAAATGTAGCTAATGTTAGCTATGGGGCACAGCTCTCCTATTGAGCACGCTACTTTGAGATAACTGACTGTGACACAAAAATATTAATCCGGGCTGAAGGCAAGGACAATAAATGAAAGTCACAGTCTCAAAATACTTGCCACAATGAAAGGAACTACAGAATTTGGATTAGAACCAGAGCTATGAGAAACTTGGTGCTGTTCGTTGGGAGGGGTCCATGCAAGCAAACAATTTCACTGGTTCTGGCTTGTGTAGATTTGAAAAATTTAGTTGAATCCACTGAGTTTCCCTTGGTTTGGCACATAAACATGAGATGTTTTAAGTGGCCTTTGATTTTGACACAAACCTCAATTTGGGTGTGATTTTGACACAAACCCATAACTTTACCTACCTTATTTACCCATAACTCAATCCAAGCTGGTTTGAAACTGGGCCAGGTGCATTCAGAAGTAGAGCTGGTCGAAAAATTTCCAATTGAACAGTTTTTCATTGGAAAATGCAGTTTTATTGGACATTTTGCAGGAACACGTTGATTTTGAAGAAATTGTTGGCTCTCAACTTTCTCGTTTTGTTTCAATAGTGTTAAGAACTAATTGAAATTATAAAGTGGAAACTAAACACTTATCTTAACAAAATGAAATGTTTCATTTAGACTTTTATATAATATTATGTGTAGAGATATATCTATATAAATTCTATACTATTTTTTATACTATTGAAACAAAAAGTTTTGATGGTCCCAAATAAAAAAAAATTGAATTTTATTTTGTGGGAAATTGACTTTTTACTCCCATTCAGAATGAGCAATAAAATGTCAGAATGTCTTAGTGAATGGACATTCTGTTTTCTGACCTATCCTATTCAGAATGTTAGGAAACCTTGGCAACAGTGAACCTAGGATGACCTTTCAGTTAGTAACAAAACATGAAACAGGGCAAGTTAGTTGTTAACTTACTGCACAGCTCCAATCAGAGCCATCTTGAAAATGACTATGTCTTATTCAATATAAAAATAACAGTAATATTTACAAAAAAATACAAAAAAACACCAAGTTTTAAACTTTGCTCACTTTGTGGAGTAATGCATGTCAAAACTCTATAGCCACAATCACACATACACAGAGCTCCAGCTAGTTAATAAATTATTTAATCCATATTGAACAAACAACCTGACTGGTAAAATTTCACAGAGTATTTTATTACAACCCCCCCACCCCATAAATTTATATTAAAAATAGTGGATGCAAAATATTATCCTGTGCTTATATTTGAGAAAACTGTTGTGATATTAGGCACATACAAAATATCAAATTAAATGTAAATGTGACTACTTGGCACGTGGTTTAATGAGTTTGGTATTTTCATGGGGGAGAGGAGGCTAAGCAGTGTGAAAAGCAAGTTGACAGCTGGTACCCTTTGATTGCCATTATACACCTCAGAACTCTTGTAATACTCCTGAGTCAGCCTTGTGTGAACCTGGGGGTAAATTTAGCACATACTTGAGAAATGAAACATTTCCAAACAGGAAAAGGCATGTTAATCCCTATTCATGGAGTGAGTGGAAGAGATCAAGCAACAAAAGTTGGGTGGCCTAACAGGGAACACAAAGCTTAATTTACCCCCCAGATTCTGAGCAGATTAGTGTGCATCAATTCTCCCTTTCCCTGCCAAGTAAGAACAATGTTTAGGCAACAGTTAACAGGTAGAAAAGGAAAACAAACTTTTGATTACGCCTCTAGTTTAAAGAAACGCTTACATGGGTTGTGGATTTCCTTTAGCTTCACAGTTAATTGTAAAGTCTTCATCAAAAGGGTATGCAACTTGGGTCATGGATTGCTCTGTAATTGTTGGAACCTGTGCAACTGAACAGAGGACATTTGATTAGATCAAGAGCTATTCAAACAGAACTAAACACAGTTCAGATTATTTAAAGAGCTCAAGGTTGCCAGACCCCATTACATTATCCCGGCAAACATTTCAGATGCACTTTTATACATATTCTCCTAACAATAAAAACACTGCCAGCATCCTGAAGTCAGGGCTTCAAGTGTCTCAGCACCAAAAGGGAGGTTGGAAAGCACTTGGCTGCAGAACTCCATGACATGGAAGGAGTAAAATGGGATGGAGTAATTATATGGCTCTTGTCCTACCCTCCTCAGGCATTGATCTTCACCTGGAGCCTGATCCAAAATCCACTAAAGTCATTTAGTGTTTTTCCATTGATCTCAATGGGCTTTGGATCAGACTCCTGTAGAACAGTGATGGGAGCTGCATGAGCAGAAGAAATTCTGCTCTGCCATTCCTATGTTCTCCCCTCTACAACATCATAACTTGTTCTCCAGTCTGAAAGCACAATGCATCAAGAAAGTCGCAACATAGCTGGTGTTCCTGCTTCTCCGTCCCTGCATGACTCCGGCTCATAGAGTCATAATAGAGACCACAGTCTCTTCCAACATAAGCTAAAGATAACAAATGTGGAGGCTAACTTTCTAATGCTCATGACTGTACTGAGCTCTGATTTGTTTTATGAGGGTTTGTGAGTGATTTTTTTTAAAGCCAGTTGACTAGAAGAAAATACTTTCCCCCCTCCCTCCTAATGAGTCAAGCAGGTGGCGAATCCTCAGATAAATCAAATATGTGCAACATACATGCGAGTTTAAATAAAATGGAATATGGATGATTATACACTTCCCAGAGCATGCCATCCATGTCATTAGTGACATTTCTGAACATAGCCATTAATATTACATATATTTTATTGCAATCAGAAATGATGAGCTATCACTCACAATAGAAATATTCCCATAGAAGTCAGTCAATACCTACACATTGCTTGCTAGAGCATTAATGTTTCATGTTTGCCTGAATTTACCAAGTTTAAGAAGGAGATTAAATTAATAACCTGGCATGTTTTAAACTACACATAGATACACTACATGGTAAATTGTTGGGTCCATTATGGATACATATTGTTTTCATTCATCTGTGGCATGAATGTGCATCGTTACTATGCATACAGGAAATCAATGATGTTTCACTGACTTCTATGGGAATGAAAGTGTTGAGTAAGAGACACACAACAGAGATTGTGCTCTGCACTGTAAACTGGGATAACAGATCATCACATTGGTTGTTATACACAACAAGAAAGAAAATTAACATGTTCTCTGGTTTCACTTTTAAGTCGACCAGGTTATGAAGCTCAAAGCTCAAACAAAATGTAGTATCTTGCTGCACATATCGTGTCGAACCCCTTACATCTCTACTGTGTCCACCCTTTCCCACTAGCTTATAAACATTCAGACATAATTCCTTTTTATTAAAATATAAAATGCTTCATTCAAATAAATTAAGGGACAGATGGTTCCCCAGAGTTGGTGCTTATGTTTAGGTGACTGCACAAGGAACCTGTCCCATCCTTGGCTACAAATGCAATCTCGTACACAGCTGAGTGCCAGGACTGCTCCTGGCTATCCACTGGGGCTAGCCGCTTACGAAGGAAGGAGGGGTACTGCCTCCGTGCACTGGTATGTAGAGCTAGCTAGCTACAGAAGGGAGTGTATGCTGAAACTCCAAGCAAGTGCGTTTTCCATTGAAGATGGGATTGCTGGGAGGCATGGGGTCACTCAGAGTTCTTGCTGGGGTCTGGGGGGAAAGCAGGGGTGTGCCCTAAAGAGGGCCAGAGCCTTAAATTTATAGCTGAGCCCTAACATATTTTGAAACTACTTATAGGACCCTCCTGGCTTCAGTGTCTGAGGCACAGATCCCCAAAAGGAGTTTAGGGGCCTAACTCCTACTGAAATCAATGGGAGTTAGGTGCCTAAATATGTTTGAGGATCGGGCCCTGAATGCCTAGAAAAAAAGGCCAGGTTTGTTCTGTTTTTATGGATAATTGATGAGACAATTTATCTAACACAAATATGAATGGGATAAGATTTTTTCCAAAAGAAAACTGTGGTGTGATTATAATCAGCCTTATTTATTTGCCTATGATGAAATGTAGTTTGGGGGGCTAAATCTTCATCCCCTTGCTCCTTTAGTCAGCTCCACTGACCTCCTCAGTGGGATTGGCCTTTTATGAGGTTCATTACATATTTTACACATGCACTGAAGAAGAACCAGCTATGTAAAATATGCCGTTTGATGTGTACCGTGGCCAGACACGGGTAAAGTAGGTGCTCCTGCAAGCAGCATTCAAGTGATGGGAAATATTCTCCTGGGATAAAACTATTCCAAGAGATCCACATATGTTCCCTTTTGAAAATAAAACAGCAGGTTGCAAGGCATATAAATAAATAAATGGATATGTATATCAGATCAGTTGCAGAAAGACTCTCAACCAAAAGGAGAGATTTATGCACAGGACAGAACTGAAACTTCTGAGCAGAACAGAGGATAGGATCTGAAAGGTCAGTGATGTGCTATCTAGATAAGTTTACTGCAGCATCTAAATGGGTCTGAAGAAAGTAAATTACAATTTTATCATGTATAAACTCCCAAAAGGCCATGTAAAGGCAGAATAAAATTCAAAACGGAACAGCTGAAACGGGGGAGAAAGTAAAGTGTTCTTCAGAGGGGAAGAAAGCAGAGTGTTCAGTAAATAGCTACAACTCACCTGATAATGGTATTTCAATACCTGCTGCCAAATTTAATAGAAAGAAAAGCAGACATATGTTGATCCTTTTTGTGCTTAATAGTATCTCCATCTCTCTTCTGTAAACAGGAAGTCCAAACAGAATGAAAGAATGTTTTTTCTCCCACCTTCAGTTCAACTCAGACGTAAGGATGTGAACTTGCAAATCTAGTAAAGAGGAGAAAGAGCCATATTAGCTCACAATATTAACTGGGCTTTAATGAGATTAGTAAATTAAAGCAACGCTCAAGGGTTCAGAGCTAAAGCAAAAATGTAAGCATGTTAAAGGTGTATTAAATTGTACAGTTTCCCCCTTTGCTTCTGAAAGGTACTATAATAAAACTATAGCAACAGAAAAAATATATGCACATTAATTATACCATAAAAATCTGATTACTTTTTGCTTTGAGTTTAAGAGCAGGGATGGGTATATTTGTAATCATTCCAGTTCATAAATTTTTCTAATTGAGACTAGTGCTAGTTGGAAAGCAGTGTAACAGATCTAATGAGAAAGATTCTGTACTCCAATGACCCTATTCATAAATCTCATATGTTCTTTATCTTTCATTTATGCTTAAAACAGGGCATTTAAACAAATTTGATTCACTACTAAGGACCATCCTATGAAACCTTTGTGTTTCTTCCATAATCCCAATACTACTAGATGCAAGCTTTACACCCCCCATTATCCATCTTAGGGCAATACCTTACGAGACAAAAATGTCAGGAGTCTGCCAAAAGGAGAAAATTTTCATCTCTAATTAGCATTTAACTGCTACTCACAGAGGAGTAAAAAGAGACCATTCTGAAAATGTAGGTGTATGGAAAATTCTGATTGTCAATAGTGCTTGTGGTATCTCAGATAAATATTAACCAGCACAAGGCTGATCTGTTTTTTAGCTATCTATGTATCTCTATCTGCGGTATTTATAGGGTACCAATCACCACTATATGCCAGACAGGACAACTTTCAGACAAGAAATGATCAAGAATGAGGTAAAAGCCAGCTCAGGGACCAGCAGCAGCTGACTGCCAAATGGCAGGAATGAGAGGTTTCCTCTGTGTGGAAGAATCTGACAATCTGTTTCCTCCCTTACCCAAAGAGAGACAATAGTGAAGAAAGCCAACCAGCCAGCCTTAAAGAGCCCAAGAGGGAAAAGGGGAATATCTGACTGACCTACTTGTGGACAGATGTCATAAGCCATTGGTTTATAACAGGGTAGGAATTGTGCTGAATTCAGCAGCTTTGTAAGGTTCTGACTGAAAGCCAGGTGGAAAGTAGAGATTTTGACTGAGTTCTATTTAGAGGGAGAAAAATAATCTGGAAGTGAAAGTCAGGGAGTTTCAACGCTGGTAAAATGAAAGTGGAAACAAGATTTACAAGAGACCCCTGAAAATCAGAATTGCAGTTTTACACTTCTCATAATCTTTGAGAACTCTCCAGTTTATCAGCAGCATGGGAGAGACAAAGGAAGAGGCTGTCAAGTATCGGGGGTAGCCGTGTTAGTCTGTATCTACAAAAACAACGCCTCATGCCAAAATCCCAGTCTCACTCTTCCGCAGGGGAGATCCACTTTTCAGAGGATGTGCTGTATTCAAGAAGTGCCAGAACACGAGTACCAGAATAGTTGTAAGACGCTGTTGTGGCTCCCCAAAAAAGGGCCAGAACAGTGTCCTGGAGCATTCCAGCAGGACTCGAGTAGTGCCACTTTTAAATATTTATATGAGAAGAGTTTATTATTACATCCACTAACTGGTCTTTCCAGGGACTTATTCTAACAATCCAAACCATTGAGAAGCTTCAACAAGCCACCATATTTTAAATCAACATGCCACAAAAATGTCTATTTCTTCTCTCAAATGTGAAAATTTACCTCAGATTACATGGTCTTTAGCTTAGCATGAACAATATTAAGTCTTCTGTTAGCAGCTGTAAGATCTGATCGTTCATTGTCCATTACAGCTAGGAATGGAATCTTTAAATCAGTGGAAAGAGAAGATTCCCATCTTTCCATTAGGACCAACAGCACCAGTCTTTAGGCCTGGAAGGCTCAAAAATGTTGAATGCTGAAGTTTGACACTTTTATGCACAGAAAGTTATTTTAGCTATATTTTAGAGGTGTAATAAATGTGTTATTTCTGGTTTTCATCTCACTTACACTGGTTTTACACCGGTGTAATTCCTTTGACTTCAAATGAGTTGCTCTTCACTTACACTTGCGACTACAGTTGGACTTGCTGTAGTAAGGGTGCCTGTCTTTACCGGTGAAGGAAAGAGATGCATTTAAAGAAAAAGAAAAAACCTAGAATTTTCTATATAGATTATCCTCTTGGACCTTGCATGGTGCCAATAGAACAAGTGCTGGTGTGAAGCATGAAGGCTTTACCAATTCCAGGTTTACCATCTGTAAGTAACAGTCACCAGACAATCAGTGCGATCACAATCAGCCCTTTTATACCTCACCACATCATTATATATCCTGTATATACAAGGTACATAGTCCTTTCTTAGGTGACAGTCACTCGATGGCTGCCCAACACTTATTTATGCAGTGTCAGGTTCTCCTCTGTTGACCGCCCTTCTCATTGTTGTCTGACTTGTGCTTACAGGCAATAAATCAAGACTTTTATCAGTGCTATTTATAACGAATGTATGCCCTGAATGCAACTTTGGTGGTCAGAAGAACTGCAGTTTACAC